TCCAACCAATGTAGGAGATTGAGAATAAAGATCTGTGGGTGTGGAGCTGGGTTATAGAAACTTAGCTGAGTCTGGCAGGAGTTTAAGCCAAAATCCTTAGCATATACACAATCCTAAAGCTGTGTGATTCAGCTCAAACATCAGCTCTTAAGGACAGATGCTAGGCCTAAAAGAGGGGACAGAGTTGACAGCAGCAGAACTAGAAGGAGAGTGGTTAAGATCAGTATTAAATTAAAGTCTTGGAAATGGTATTTTTCTATAAAGATAAGGCATTTTGACTATTTGTATTAGTGGGTGGCCTGGTTTAAAGGCTTGTAGATGAGGGAATGCCACACTGCTCTATAACCTGAAATGCCTTACAGTGCTTAAGGACACATGGATCAAGGACCATCATGTTTGTGATATAAGTATTTATAGACATTGCTCACATATAAGGTTGACCCAGTTGGGCTCCTACTGTTTTGTTTTTGTGTTGTCGCACGATACGACCAAACCCTTTATCCTAGCTAAAGGGTGTGTTCTGAACAGAGTGGGAGTGGTAGTTTATATCTTTTCTATAGCAAATATTCACTACCTTTCCCTTCCCACTCCAAGCAAATTTACTTCTCCTGGTTCACTGATATTTATGTTGACCATGTGATGTACTTTGGCCAATGAAATATTAACAGACATAATGAGTTGTAAAATGTCTTACATGGTTTGGCTTGAGTCTTGCACTTTGATGGTCCTCTGTAGGATAACATGACCTGCTTACCTTCTGCCACTTAGCAAGGGCCCCAGAGAAAACATATGAACCTATGTCATGGATCTAAGTGCATCCAAATGCTACCTGAAGCACAAATGAACACAGCCTAGATCAGCTGAACAGCAGTCAACACACAGATCTTTGAACATAAGAATAAATGCTTGTTTTTGTAACCATTGTTTTGGGTGGTTTGTTACAAAGCATTATTATGGGAGTAGTTGACTAAGACATTAGTCTTAGCAAGATCCTATGGGCATTCTTCTTGAGGAAACATGCATTGAATTGACACAACTTATTAGAGTCTCCTGTGTCTAGAGTACTGCCATGGATACCTTTTGGACTGGGAAGAAGAAAGTGGTGGTAGGGGGAAAATATCAAGAAAGAATAAAGGATGAAGACTCTCCTTTTGAAATGTTTCTATCTGTACACATTTCAAACTTCAGTCTTTTGAACATTAGCTTCAAGTTTTGCCATATTCAAGTGCCAATCTAACCATCATTTGTTTAATAATTTTTAATTGACAACAATTTAAACAATGACTATGTATTCTAGTCTTGTAATAGTCATATATCTACAAAAGAAAAAGTGTACATAGAAGTTAAACTATTAAAAGAGGTCTATCTACTTAAACTGTTTCAAAAACTACTTTGTGGAATACTGAACTTACAAGGTCTTCTTCCCCAAAAGTGGGCCCCAACTCTTCCTTGAAAGGCCAATTAGAATTCCCCGAAATCTGCTGCCAGTGACGTTTTTCCTTCATCTTTTTGTCAAAGTCCTCAACTTTGCTTGCGACATCAATGCTTACTCTTGTGCATTTAGGGCTCGGTCTATTGCTTCCTAAGAGGTAGCTTCTTAGTTGTTACTACAACCAAGTGATCTTAGAAGTGACTTGTCATCGATGTCCTTGATTTTGATACTGTAACCACTGTAGATGATAGCTGGTTATGGATAAACAAAAGTTATAGCTTTCAGATGGTGAAACTGGATGTCTGAGAGTTTGGAGAATAGACACTCGTAAAACTGTCAGTGAAAATAGTTTAAAAAGAAGAATTTAAACAAAGGAAAAATTTGACTATGAAGAGATTTCCAAAAACAGAAGCTTCATGACTAAGAGACATAGTAGGGGCTTTGGTTCAATCCCCAGTTCTTATAATTATTGATTTTATAACTTTAGGCAAGTTCACTATACTTTCATATATCTCAACCTTCTCATCTATAAGAAAAGGAAAATAATAGTTCTTATATCCCTCATAGAATTGCTGTGAAGACTGAAGGAAAATTATGCATATAAGCAAAACATTTAGTATATTCCTGGTAGATAGGAAGTGCTCAGTAAAACGTGGATATTATTGCCATTATTACAAGTGTTTTTATTTTGATGTGATTATGGCATCAAACAAAAGATCCCGAAATTAGAATCGATGGGACAGAACAATTAAGGCAAGCAGGGAGCAATGTTTGCAAAGATAAATGTGGTCTGTGTGCCATGGCTGTGAACTTGCTTGGATCTGAGTGACAGCTGCAGCAGCTGCAGCACTCCTACGACTAGGATGGCTGTGGTGGTGATGACTCACTGTGGAGTAGGACGTGGGAGATAAGGGGAGGCACGCTCCTGAGGCAGCTCCCAGAACAGAGGTTGCTTTGCCTTCAGGAGGCAGCTAGGAAGGGAGCGGTGAACCAGGTAACTGTGCTGCCTATCTCCGAGGTTGCTTCAGCTTCTCCGACAGGGAGAGAACCTAAGTCCAGGTTGTAGCTGCTCTCCGCAGGTCAATGTCACTTAGCACACTCCTTCCTCATCTTGTGTTTCTCTAATATGAGTTGTCCCTATTATCATTTCCTTGGGGACACATCAGCTTAGGGGATTTATTGGTAGAAAGGAATGAGGAAGGGAATACAGATGAAGGAAGCTAGCAGTCCATGGGTACGGTGTTGGACTTTCTGGGGAAGGGAAGATCACAGAGGAGGTACCCTCAGGATGTACCCACACAGAGCAAGCACCTCTAAAATACTGACTTATCATTTTCCCCTCGAGCTGATTCCTATTCCCACCTTTAACCATACTTCCACTTTTTTCTATCACTAGCATCACTATTTTCTTATAAACTAGAAACACAACTCAGAGCTCATCTGTAACTGTATTAGAACCCCCTCTACAACTCAAGTCAGTTGCATGACCTTATTTTCTTGTATCAAATCCTTCTTTCTATGGGCTTTCCTCTCCTGGGTCATACTCCTGGGCTGGGCTGGGCCCTCCCTTTCCCATTCCTGCAACACTAAGCTAACAACTGGGCTTCTTGTCTTTTATCTAATCAACCCAAATCCCCAATGCCATACCAGTTTTTCTTAAATATTGTTGTGTTGTATCTCATAACACTTTTCCTCAATAGCCCTATTTGCCCCCAATACCTCATTATCTTTTGTTCATAGAGCCCCAATCAGCACAGTAGTTTTGCTCCTATCTCTATGTTCACCCCATTCCAGCAAGTATACCATGGCCCTAGCACCATGCTGAGGGAATCTGGAAATATTGCCAGGGTAACATTAGCATCACTACCTAATAAATTCCATTTTTTCTGGGATGTGGAAACAAGGGACAGAGGTGAAACACCTTCCAGGGACATACTTGCTTCACTAAAACCACAGAAGAGGGTTCAGTATGATGTGGGAAAGGGCATTTCAGGCTTGGGATGCAGTTCATTTCTACTAACATATATAAAGCATCTTGGGTGGGCATGAAGGAAAAAGAGACCCTGTACCTGTCATGAGATAGTTTTTAATCAACAGGGTGAGGAAGAGGCAAGCTACCAGTGTAATGGAATGTAGGAGGAAAGATAGAGAGCTCAGTAAAGCCTTGTTCTTTTGTATAAGGTCTGAGACCCTGTGAGGTAGGCATAGGCAAATATTACCTGCATTTTACAGATGACAAAACTTGCCTACCCACCTCAGAGTTTAAGTGGCTTGTTTATTGTTGCAGAGCTAATAATTAGCAGACTAGGGTCTCCTAGTTGGGTGATCTTTTTAATGCATGACTCTGCCTGCAACCAGTAGGCTGTGAAACACCTAGAGAAACAATTAAGCCTGTTTGGGAACAGTATGGACGAGGCTGTGAGGCCTCCCGGGAAAGGTGACATTTGACCTGAGAATTGAAGAATCTAAGAGATATTAATCAGAGATATGTTAAAACAAAACTAAAATGGTGACCAGGTCTTATTCTTACTTAAACTACAAATATAAGTTAACTTGGGTCATTTGTGATACACATTTATGTTCGGCAGAAATAAAACTTAACCCCAGTGAATTATAAACAGCCAACTAACATGTGATTATGTGACTAGGAACTTCTCAATAAGGTACCTAAAAAAGGCACTTATGTAACTTCAAACCAACCAAATAATACCCTACTTAGCTTCCACAGCTTCCCAATACATACTTGCTTCTGACATTTTGTCACTGAAACACTATACCTGTGTAATCTATTGGTCTGGTGTTCCTCCATTCATGAATTTCTTCTTACTCAATAAGGTCTTTAAAATGTTACTGTACCTCAGATTTTTTTTTGACAGAAGAAAGGAGAAAAGAAAGAATATTCCAGAAATAAAGGCACTTTATGAGCAAAGCCACAGAGCAGGACAAGAGGAGCAGACCAAGTGCAAGATTGCTTGGGGAGTAAAGACTCCCTCCCTCTTCTCCCCTGAGAAGCTGAGATAAAGGAGGGAGTGAGGCCTGGGTGCTCCCCCACAGATAAGCAGACTCCACCCAGAGGCCAGTAGTGTGTGTTTGGGGACAGGGGCCAGAATAGCAGAAGTGCCCCTTCTCCAGGAACAAGAAGCTGGGGCGGGGGCAGGAAGGAGGTTGTTTCCTGGACCCCAGTCCTCCGAGTCAACACCTGGACCAGAACCAGAAAGGATTCTGGAGCCAGAGAGGACAGACAGATGGCAAGTCCCCTGGAGAAAGCATGACCTTTTGGAGTCAGAGGCCTAGGGTGGGGGTGGGGGGTGAGAGTGGCTGTGTGTGAATGCCCTGCCCGCACTGGAGAGGATGGGGATGTGATGATTCTGGAGAAGAAAGGGGTAAAGGAGAGGGAGGTGATGGGAGAGGAAGTGAGAAGCGACACTTCCAGAGGAGAGGTTCATTCAGAAGCCCTTCTGGGAACACTGCCCTGGGTTTAAAATATGTGTATGGGGGCAGGGTGGGCAGGGACAGATGTCAAAATAGCCTGATAAAACGGTCTTTAATGCTCGCCTTTCTGAACCAGCTTCTCTCTCCTCCTTCCTCCTCCACTCACTTCAGGAGGGTGGGGACCAAAGTGAAGAAGAGCTGAGAGGACAGAGCCAGGCCCGTGGAACGGGGGTGAGTAGCCTCCCCCCCAGGGCTGGAATATACTGATGTTGTCACTCTCAGCTCTAAAATTCCACAAATTCTCATCCTCTGAGAGCCTGCTTAATTCTCACCCAAGATAGGTGACATTTTTTGTTTTCTCATCTCCCAGGATTTAAATAGGGCTGGTTTTAGAACTACCTCTGTATAAAGTGGCCCCAGCACTAACTAGTTCATTCTCTCTCTCTTCCACTTCTCTTCTCCCCATCCCTTTCTCTCAGAGCTCTCCAGAAGAAAGGCTGTCCACAGCATGGTGGGCATCGGCCAGGCGAGTGCTGACAGCCATCCTGCTTTTTGGCCTGCTCCTTGGTTCTTCTGTGCTTTTGTTCTACATCTTCTGGAACTGTGGTCCTCGTAAGCAAGATCCTGGAGCCCCTAAACCTAGTTGGCCCTCCCTAAGCCAGGGGTCCTGGTCTCTGCTCCTGGGACTGCCATCATGGTCCTTGTGTTCCCCATGGTTCCTGCTTCTTCCCAGATTCCTAGCCATTTCCTTTGTTCCTCACCTGGTGTTCCTCTGCCCAGCCCATTGGGGGAGCCCTGGTCTCTTTCCTCTTGTTTCCCAGTTCTGGACTTTTCCTCGCAGGCCTCTGTGAGACTCCTGTGTGTTTGGATCTCCGGGCTCGTTACCAGGCCTCTGGGAACACCAGCGCGGCCCCCTGCAACGACTTCTTCAGCTTTGCCTGTGGCAAGGTCAAAGGATCCAGCAATTCTTTTCAGAGTCTTGCTGAGGAGAACAAGAGCCAACTTCGGAGAATACTAGGTAATGAAAGCAGGGTGAAAGATTCTTTGTGCAATCAGATGCCTCCAAGCAGACAACAATCATGATTGCCCCCAACCCTGCGTAGTTGTGGGACAATTGTTTTGCACCATCCCCAATGGGCTCTTCAGGGAGTTTCCTGGGTTTGCTTCTCTCTCACTATTCTGTCACCTCAGATACCTCCCTCCATCTCTGTGGTCCTTCCCTTTGTCTTTTCCTTGTCTAATTCCTATCGTCTTTCCTTTTACATTTATCTGTAATTACTCCATTCTCTCCAAGTTCTTTCTTTTAGCAAGCCCCATCTTCTAGATTATTTCCTCCAAATTTTCATTCTGTCTGATGCATGGTATCTTCCTTCATCAGCATCTCCTCAGCACCTCCTACACTTTAATACTTTTCTCTATCACTCATTCTCTAGCCTTTGGTCCGGACCCTTCTAGTCTTCCAATGCCTCTTTTCAACAGTGCCTTCTCCCTCTCACCTGCAATGATCTCTTGCTTCTCTACTGAAATCTTGGACCGTGGAGAACAAGTTGAACAGGATGAAGTGAGATAATAGGGATGGATAATTGGAGATAATGGTGGAATTAAAAAGGTAGGATAGTGGGGTAAGAAGCAAGAGGGGGCTTCGTCACTGTCAGGGCATAAAGGAAAAATAAGCACAAAGACTATGCTTAAAGAAGAGGAGAGCCAAGCTAATTGGTGGTGGAGGTAAAGCAAGTTCCTGCAGATGGAAGCAGTAAAAGAGAGAAAACAACCGCTAGGACTGAGAGGAAAACCAGAAGGAGGAATTGAGGCCATGTAGGCGGTTGGAAGTGGGTCTCAGGAAGCTGGTGGTGGTACAGATTTGGGAATAAGAGCTCATAAGATAGGCATGCATTTCTGGTACAAGGAAACCCAGGGAACGTGTTGACAATATCAATTAGAATCTGGGAGGAATAAATGTACCCTTCTGTCCTGCTTTTTTGATAGAAAAAGAGTGAGAGGTAGATTCTTTTTTGGTAAGTAGATAATATCAGTTAAGGGGCAGAGATGGAAAAAAATGCTCAGGAAAAATTCCATTGCTTACAATGGAATGAAGAAATACCAAGTGGACAGGGATGGGGGTTGGGAGAGTGAGTGTTAGATATTCAAAAGTGGATTATCAGAGGGATGTGCGTTTTATTATTATAATGTGTGTGTGTTTCCTGGGGTCAGTGGATGAAGAGTCTACACTAGGGGAGTCTTCCCCTGTGTCTTCTCTTTGCTAAGCCTTTCCTTGTGAGTTTTCTTCATTCCAATCCCTCTAAATTCTTTAGTTTCCTGAACTTTTCTAAGTTTTCATTCGTCTCTCTCCTGCCTTCCATTTCTATCCCTTCCTCTTTGCCTATATTTTACTTCATGCTTTCTCCTTTCTTCCATGTCTTTTCCTTCTTGTTTGCTTTTGCTTATTTCTTTTCTTTTCTTTTTTTTCTCATTGTCTTCTTCTTCACATTTCCTTTCCGGGCTCTTCTTTTTCCAACAAGTTGATCCATTCCAAGTTGGGTCATCTTCTCATCTTTCCCATTTTCCTCACCTCTGTTTCTTCTCCTCTTCCCGTGTTCTTTGGGAGCTTCCCTTTCTTTTCTATTAACTCCCTGTCTTCCACCCTCTCTGTTTGTCTCTATACCAATCTTTACACCTTTAATTCTCTTATGCTTCTTTTCTAGAGGCCCAGGATCCCTTGTACCCAGGCTCTGGGGAGGAGAAAGCCTTCCAGTTCTATAGCTCTTGCATGGACACACACTCCATTGAAGCTGCAGGGGCTGGTCCCCTCAGACAAGTTATTGAAGAGGTGAGAAAGATTGGGATATCAACTTTTCTGGATATGCAACATATAGGACCAATGCATGTGTGGGGCTGCCATTTTATTCCTAGAAAGTGGGTCTTCTTCATAGGGATTTCTGCATTCTAGGAGAAGGTTAGAATGACAATGTCCTGTCAAAGTATCAGAACCATGGGTGGGGGCAGAGAAAGAAGGATAGATGTGGAGTATTGGCGGGATCAAAGGAATCAGAGCAGAGGTCAGGAGGTAGCAACTGTCTGAGGAAAAGAAGATGAAGACAATGGAGGATAGGTCTCACTGTTTCCTATGCTCAGCCTTCCTATGCTCAGTCTCACTGTTTCCTATGCTCTCTCCTTCCCAGCTTGGAGGCTGGTGCATCTCTGGTAATTGGACTTCCTTAGACTTTAATCGAACTCTGAGACTTCTGATGAGTCAATATGGCCACTTCCCTTTCTTCAGAGCCTATCTGGGACCTCATCCTGCTTCTCCACATACACCAGTCATCCAGGTGAGGGATGCACTGACTAAAATACTGTTGGACCTGGGTCTGCCTACACCTCTAGCTTATCATCTCTTAGAGGAAGGTTGCAGGTGGAGAGATGGGAAAAATGTGGAATCTAGAAAAGAGCCCTATCTTAAGAACAAATTATTGATGTGAGACTCAGGGATACTAGGTGGATATGGAAAACAGGGCAGCAGGACCAGTTCTGGGAGAATAGAAGTACTTCCAGTCTTCCTAACTGCTAATATGGATTAATCCCAGAGCCTCTTAACTTGTCCTTCTATCTCTCAAATGGCCCTCATTTAATTTACTAGAACCTTTCTAAACCAAGAGCCAACTATACTTCTGTCTCTGTTTAAGTGCCTCCGGTGGCTCACAAGATCATTACGTCCCCAATTCTTTTTATTTTATTTAATTTTTAATTTTTAAATTTTTTTTTCTATTTTGAATATGTGAGGTACAATTCAGGGTTAGGTATACAAAAGTTCATTATGTAGGTCCCCTTGTTGATGAGGTGTGCTCCCCACTCCCCGGCAGTTTCCCACTGCTGCCAATCCCGCCCCACCGCCATCCCCTGGCAGTTTCCACAAAACATTGCAAGTATTCTTTGGTCTGATCTCTATGCACTTCTCCAGTTTTATCTCCTGCATCTTCTTTCACACCCTTGCTCCTAAGTCATGCTCACTCACTGGTACTTCCAAAAATATTCCTCCATTCTTCACGTATGCTGTTCCTTTTGCCTGCAACCATCCCCAGCATTCAGCCTAGAAAACTCTTGCATATTTTTCAAATGTTGGCTTTCATCATGATCTCTTCCACAAAGTCTTCACTGACACCATAGCCATGAGTTAGGTGAAGCCACTCTCTTCCTTCTCCCATTTCCTCATGGTCTCGGCATTTGACACTCTGTATGAAGACTGTGAGTCTCTTCAGAACAGGATCATGACTTGTTTACCTTTGTTTCTCAGGACCTAGCATGAGGTCAAGCAGCTAGAGGCCCACACCAGGTATTTTGTTAGTGAGTAACTAAATAAAAACATTGAAGTCATCACTATTGTGTCGAGCAATGCAATGCTATCTATATATTTGGCCCCAATTATAAAAAATTCCACAAAATTATTAAATGATAAATATAAAAGAACTGACTAGCAGTATGAGGTATTCTAAAGAGTTTGCTCGAATGGGGCCTTTGGGGATGAGTTAAGATCTAAGTTGGTTAAGGAAGGGTTCAGAGAAGAGAGAATAAGAGGTTGTGAGCTGAGCCTTGAAGCACGGTTAATTCACACAGGTGAGGGTGAAGCTCAGGGTCATTCAAATGGCTGTAGGAAAATCCTGAGCTAAGAATTATATTATACCAGGAATTATACCAGGAATAGTATGATTCCTCTGTTGGGTAAATGAGCATACTGTTTTGTTTAAGTGAGGATTTGGATGGGGTGCAGTGAGTGGTAAAAGGCTGAGAACATGGAGGATGGGTCTGATTATTTCTGGTCTAAAAAGCCAGGCAGAAGTGACAACTTTTGACATAAAAAAAAAAGAGCCGCTGAGGTCATTCTAATATGATGGTTGTGCATAGAGCTTACGTCAAGTCAGCAGTTTTGGAGGTCAATCTGGAGGTGTTGTGGAAGCTAAATGAGCATTTTTGAGGTCCTGAAATAGTGGCAGAAATGGAAAGGAAGAGCCAGGCATGAGGATTTAGGCAATCTCACCCTAGTGGTGATGGTCTATGGTATTTCTAGGGAAGCTGGTAACTGGCTAAATATAAATGCAGTAACTACCCTACATATGAACGAGCTCTGTTCTGAGAATGTGGTTGTAAGTCCAATTTGTTCCTAAGTCCAACAAAGTTAGTCCAGGTACCCAACTAACACAATCGGTTAGCCTGGATGGTCTCTTGGGGGAAGAATAGGAAGAGAGAATGGATTACAGAAAGAGCATCCCAAGGACTGGGAGCAGAAGGGAGAGCCAGAGAAGGGTAAGAAGAGTCAGAAAGGTGGGAGGTAGGCCTGCATGGATGGACCACAGAGGAAAGGGGAGAAACTTCAGGAAGGAGGGGTCATTGTGGATTCCAGAGATTGCTGAGTTCAGAGAATAAGACACGAGAAACCTGGAGATAGTTTCAAAATCATTATGGAAGTGGACACAGGCTGTATGGAGTTTAGGAAGAAGGTAAGGAAGCTGGAAAGATGAGCATGGATGCCTTTTTGTTCTTTAAACTTTGGATATACAATGTGACAGAAGGGTCTTTTCAAGACAGAGGGAAAGCTTATAACTCAAATGGGAGTAAGATTTTGAAATTGGAAAGGAAAAGGAAACACAGAAACAAAGATCTTCAGAATAGAATTAAGGGCTCCCAGTCAGGCTTGGTAGCTCAGCCTGTAATCCTACACCTTTGGGAGGCTGAGGTGAGTGGATTGCTTGAGCCCACGGGTTCGAGACCCGCCTGGGCAACTTGGCGAGACCGCATCTCTACAATAAATCAAAATGAGCCAGGCGTGGTAGCATGCACCTGTTGTTCCAGCTACTTGGAAGGCTGAGGCAGAAAGATCGCTGGAGCCCAGCAGGTCGAGGCTGCGGTGGTCAGGGGCAGCCACTGCACTCCAGTCTGGGTGACAGAGTGAGACTCTAACTAAAAAAAGAATTAAAGGCTCCCAAGGGCCAGAACTAAGGTGAGTTGTAAGGGGTGCTTGCCTGGAGTGCTAACTGAAGAAGGTCCTTAAAACTTAGTATCAAGATAGATAGTATTTTAATGAATATTCATAAAAATCAAAATGAAGGCAATAATCCATTATGAGTAAAATATCAAAATTTTTCCCCTCCCCAGAATGGAACAAAATTCTATTGTGAACCTTTTTAAAACACTTACGACTTTTTAAAAAATGAACAAAAAATGCATTGTGAATTTTTTGGGAAAAATATGTTCATAATAAGCAAAGTCTTGAAATTTTATTTATTGTAGTGTTTCGTATTTATTTTGACTTTTCAAAATATTAATTAAAAAATTTTTTTTGACTACTTAATTTCTGGTACCTCTTAGACTTTGTACCTGAGAGAGGTGTCTCACCTCCCTTATCCTACACCTGGTCCTGACACTGATGATCATGCTTCCCTCTTGCTAGGCATCCCACACTGATTTTAATGCTGCTTCTTCACACTTCCACATCTGGACTCTTCCCTCCATTCCCCTAGCTCCCAATCCTGCCTTTCTTTGTACTGTCACTCCTTCTCTATCCACTCTTGATGCCAATCTCCTGAGGTCATCTCCTGTGGTACATTCCCTGCCCCCCCACCTGCCCTCCCCATCCCCCATGCTCCCCACTTCTCTCCAGTCTCTCTTGTGTCCAGATAGACCAGCCTGAGTTTGATGTTCCCCTCAAGCAAAAGCAGGAACAGAAGATCTATGCTCAGGTAAGATGGCACATGGATAAAGACCTTGCTCTCTGAGGCCAGGAGAGAGGCAAAGTCCTCTGGCATCTGTGACTTAGGTTGTCTCCTCCAGATCATTCGGGAATACCTGACTTACCTGAATCGACTGGGAACTTTGCTGGGAGGAGACCCAGGCAAGGTGCAAGAACATGCCTCTTTGTCCATCTCTATTACTTCGAGGCTGTTTCAGTTTCTGAGGCCCCTGGAGCATCGGTGGACACAAGGCAAGCTCTTCCAGATGGTCACTATCCACCAGCTCCAGGTGCCTTGAACCGGGGACTAGAGGACTGTGGGCATGAGGGTCTCCCCCCAAAACTTTCTTTATCTTCTTGTCTTCTTCCTCCGGGTGCCCTTAATTCCTTTGCATCCTAACTTTCTCTGGCTCTATCCCCTTCCCAACCATCCCTTTCTCCACTTTTTCTCAAACCCAAGAGGAAGCCCTTTCCCCTTCCTTCTCTCTTCTTTTCCTTTTCCCCTCAGCTTTGTGTCCCTCCTCTAAGGAAATGGCCCCTGCCATCGACTGGTTGTCCTGTTTGCAAGCAACATTTACACCGATGTCCCTGAGCCCTTCCCAGCCCCTCGTGGTCCATGACCTGGAGTATTTGAAAAACATGTCGCACCTGGTAGAGGAGCTGCTATTGACACACAGGTTTGCCCCGGGTGGGATTGAGTGGGTCACGAAAATAGAAGTAAGTCTGAGAACACCTAGGTCTCAGGGACAGAAAAGACAGGGGAATGCAGCCTGGTAAGAGCTTCCCAGGAAGATGAGAGAGACCATCTCCATGTAGAGGCAGAGAATTGGTGGAGTGGGGGGGCAGTGACACAAGAAGGGATGGAGAAGGATGCGAGACTTAGGAGCATGGGGAAGGGAGGTCACACACAAAATGAAGGAAGCAGGATCAGCCAAGACACGGGATCCGCTGGAGTAGAACACCAGCCAGTAAGGAGCCTCTGAGCTGTAGAAGATGCTGGGAAGTCTGGGCACAGGGGACAGCTGAGGGCATTTATATCTTTTCAGCAGCAGAGGGCTGTGGGCAGGAAGAGGAAGTACATGAGATGAGGAGCTGGAGGTGGTGAAGCTGGGGATGTTCTAGGAGAAGAAAGACAGGAGAGGGGCCATTTCTCAGCTGTGGTGAGAGGGGATTCTGGAGCCTTTATGGAAAAGGATGTCTAAGAACATTTCTGCTGGGATGAAGAAGTCAAAGAGGGTTGGGGACATGAGTGTGGGTCTATGTTGAGCTCTCTGTTTCCTTGAAGCCTGTGTGCCACTTCCTGAAGGCAGCAGCTTCCGTCCAGGGCTTAGACTCAAGGCCCTTCTTCATAGCAACACAGTGGCAGCAGCATTTAGAAATCCTATTTTAAGAAGGCAAACAAACATTCATGAGGGAGGGAGCAGTTTTACGTAAGGGTACAGTGCACCCCTGGTAAGAGAATTGTGCTCATGAGATACATCTTAAGATGAGCTGAGATTTCTCGGTTGTGGAAGTAGATGAATCTGTCTCATTACATCTGAGTCCAGCCTTCACATAGCCCAGGACCTTCTTTCTCTATGACTTTGAAGGCTGCCTCTTGATCCAATTCCTTCTATTATTCCCTAGCCCCACCACAACCCATGCTAAGAAAAGTTCTTCTTGACTTATTTGTATGTCAAAACAGTTATTCATTATTAGCACAGAGAAGGATCTGCCCCCAGCAGTATCAAGGTGACTTGTAAAAGGGGAGACTTTTCTGGAGACCTCTTCAGAACTCAGGGATGCATGCATGGGTCCGTTGTCTTCATAGGGACTTTCTGCAGAGCCACATGATCTTGGGGCTGGTTGGGACCCTTTCTCCAGCCCTGGACAGCAAATTCCAGGAGGCACACAGAGAGCTGAGCCAGAAACTGCGGGAGCTGACAGAACAACCACCCATGGTGAGGAGAGGAGGGGTGTATTTTTTCAGATTGGGGGCTAATGGAATATCTGCTTTTCTGAGGAGGTAAATGTTGGCATATCTCTACAAGAAAGGGGCATGATGTTAGATGCAGCTCTGTGTCTGGGCTTTCCATGGAAGCAAGCACATTGGACAGACAAAAGCTTAACTTGAAAACGGAGGCACTAGGTACCAGACCTCCAGGACCACATTTCCGAGCCTGGCCACCTCTCTGGCCCCTTGCTGAGTATTAGAGTTTAAATATATAACACTGGAATTACCAAGGACTATTTTTGCTTTGACACGATCCTTACACTGTTAGCTCAGTTATCTTGAGCTCTATGACTTGAGGGCCTGGATCTAGACTTTAGGATTCACTGGGGAAGAGCAACATATGGCAAGCTGCGGCCTTCCCTCTGTCTAGGTGATTCCATGTTGTATGTTCAAATGTGCTTCACAAAGAGTTAATCTCTGACATCTAGTGGAATCCATTGGGCCTTATGTGGGTTTTGTGGTACAGATTCTGATGTATTTAAGGAAGGAGCTGGGAAGTAATTAGCCCTAACTAATCAGAGTCTACTTATTACATAAGATGCAGAGACATTCCTTCACCAAGAACCTTGATATCCTAAGTTGGATATATCCAAATGCTAAGTTGGATATATCCAAATGCTAGTATCTAGTATATTAGATACATCCCAACTCCAGGGAAGACCTCAGTTTAATCTTGAAAATCACTGGGTATTTCCTTTTCTAGTAATTTGTGGACCAATTCTCTGTCTTAAAGACACTCTCTACTGTGGAAACCTGAAATACTGCAGAATTCAGAGAGAAGAAATGTATTTACATTTCTTATATGTGCTAGACAATTTCCCAAATCCTTTAGATCTGATCTAATTATCATAATTCATGAGATACTGTGAATAGCATCTTGTCCTTCTTTTAAAGATGGGGAAATGGAAGTACAACAGTTGAGGAACTTACTCAAGACACTATAGTACAGCTAATACGTTAGGAGAGAGAGGATTTGAACCCTGGCCAGTTGTCTCCAGGGTCTGGGCACTTACTTATTGTACTAAAACGTATTCCTCTTTAGGACCTCATTCAAATGAGCAAGTCCCCAAAAAGCTTCTGCCCAGCCTTTCACTTGATTAAGATCAAGCAGAGGAGAGCCTCAAGTTGTTTTGGTTGGAGTTACCACAAAATCACTGACAACAGTTTCCTGTAAATCCCAGGACCACGGCCTGACAGCACTTCTTGGAGGGTGTAGGAGTGACAATGTTAAGGCTCATGCTTAAAGAAGGTAGAAGGCCTACGAACCTTAAATCACTGTCTTTTCCTTCAGTACACATAATTATCTTTGGGCTTACACACTGAATCAAGCTCTGCCCACAAATAGTTGTGTGGCCTTGGAGAAGCTACTTTACCTTTCTGGAGTAACGGTATAAAATATGGCACATAATAATAGTGACAGTAGCTGATATACTTGAAGTAGCCTCTGTCGGCATTAGCATAGATTATTTTATTTAAACCTTTGAGAAACACTCAGAAGTTTTTAATCCCCACTTTGCAGATACAACCATAGGCTCAAAAAGACCCAGGAGCTTTCCCCAAACCACACAGCTTACAAGCAAAGGAACAGACTCCAAGATACATCTGTTTGGCTCATAAAGTCATGCTTTTAACCACATGCTGCACAGGATTGAGAAATAAGTGGGTTTTGAAAACGAGAGGTTAGCAAACCTTCCAATAAAGGGAAAGATAGTAAATATTTTTGACTTTGTATTCTATATGGTCTGTTACAACTACTCAACTCTGTCCATGTGGCACAAGAGCAGCTGTGCACTGAATAAATGAGTGCAACTTGCTGTGTTCCCAGAGGACTCTGGTTTGGGCAATAGATACTTTTGAAGTTCCCAAGGGGGAGAAATCAGAGGGCGTTTGAATGATTTGTAGCACCTCTGTGAAGGACATAGGACCAAAGCAATGTTTAGAGAGAGGAAGGAGTTTTCAGGCAAAGAAATGTTATCTCACTGAGACAAAGCAGGATGTAGACTATGTAAAACTTGGAGCTGTATGGGGGATCCTCCTGATGGCTCTGACTAAGAAGAGATGACTGGGCTGTGCCTGCTGCTACTTCTGGAGATAACTGGGCTCACAGGACAGTCTGTGCCTGTTGCTGCCTCTAGAGTTTGCTGCAATGTTTGAGAATCAGCAAGGAGGCTGGAGCACCTGGAGCAGAGAGACTAGGGAGGGAGTCAGAGTGGGAAGGAGAGGATCACACAGCGTCTGGTAGGTCACTGTAAGGACTTTTACTTCTCTCTGCATGAAATGGGAATGTGAAGAGGGATTTATCTAGTTTATGTTTTAAAAGAACATAGTTTAAAATGAGCAGTGGGAACTCCTGACTGACATGAGATGTAGGAGAAAGAAGGAAATCAATGATGTCACTAAGGTCTTGGCCTTGATTTGATCAACATTTTTGGTTCTATCCAATGGGCCTTAATTACAGACGTCTGACCATATTCTTCTGAATGATATCTGGTTTATAGTACTCTTATACAAAGAGACTTCTAAGTCTCATTATCTGACCATGTTTGGTTGATTTATTTTGAAGATATATCAAAATGGCTGTTAAGCCAGTCCTTTCTTTTATGAAATTTGGAAAGCTGGGTTTTGAGAAGTAAAAGCAGAACTTCACATCTGTGCTAATTAAATGTGAACTATTAATATGCAACCCAACATCTCAATTTACTCAGGTCATTTTGACCTTTGTTTCAATTATCCATTTTACGAGAAGGGACTAAAAAAAAATCTGAATTATCTTTTGGAGGGCAGGCCCCTCATAGTACACTCAGAATTTGTTCTTCTGGATCAAATGGTCAACCAAAGTTTTTAATCTGGAAGTTTTGAGAAGGTGTGCATCATGATTTGCAGAAGAAATGTCCTGAGTTGTGGCAAACAGGTGACTGGTTCTTCCACCATGACAATGCACCTGCCCACATCACACTGAGTGCTCTGCAGTTTTTGACCAAAAAAATGGCATGAGTCTCATCTCCTGTCCTTTGTATTCACTGTATCCCATGCAACTTTTAAAAATTTGTTTCTCTGAATGAAAAAAAGTCCTCAAAGGGAATTGCTGATATGAAAGAGGTGAAACAAAACATGGCAGAAACACTAAAAGTAATCAAAATTGACGAGTTCAAAAATTGTCTTCAGCCAGGCTGGGTGGCTCAGCCCGTAATCCCGTGCTTTGGAAGGCTGAGGTGAGTGGATTGCCTGACCCCGGGGGTTTGAGACCCGCCTGGGCAACTTAGCGAGACTTCATCTCTACAATAAATCAAAAAATCAACCGGGCGGAGTATCACATGCCTGTAGTTCCGGCTATGTGGAAGGCTGAGGCGGAAGGATCGCCGGAGCCCAGCAGGTCGAGGCTGCAGTGACCAGGAGCGGCCACTGCACTCCAGTCTGGGTGACAGAGTGAGACTCCAACTCAAAAAAAACCAAACCAAAACAAAACAAAGCAAAACCTGTCTTCAGCAGTGGAAAAAGCATTTTGATAAGTGTATTGCATCAAATGAAGAGCACTTTGAAAGTGACTGAAGCTTAAAAATGTAAGAATAAATACACAATGTTTTCTAAATAAATTCTGGGGTTTTGAGGGTTTTTTTTTTCTTTCTTCCCTCTCTCTACCCCCATACAGTCAGTGAAAATGACTTTTAATCCAGGTCTTTCTTTTATGAAATTTTTGGGAAGCTGGGTTTTGGGAAGTAAAAGCAGAACTCCACATTTGTGCTAATTAAATTTGAACTATTTATATTCAGCCCAACATTGCAATTTTTTCAGGTCATCTTGACCTTTGTTTCAATCATTCATTATATTATCTTTTTGTTTTCCAACCGTGAGTCATTTGCAGTTTTATGCAGTATGTCTTCATTCAAATGATAGTTAAGATCCTGAAGCAGGTCAGGTTATTGAAAATCTCCCAAAACATTTAACTATTTATTTATGCAACAAACAGTTATTAAGCACCTGCTGTATTCCAGAAACTTCTCTAGGCACTTAGGACACAAAAGTGGATAAAATAGACAAATATCCCTGCCTTCAGAAACTTCCCTTCTAGTGAAGGAAGAAAGACAATAAACAAACTAATTACAATATGTTAGGTAGTGTTACGGAGAAAAGCAAAACAGAAAATGAGGAAATGAAATGCTAGCTGAAGAGCAGTTACAATTGTTAGTAGGTAGGTCAGGAGGTCACGTGAAGGTGGAGTCATTCATCATTGATGTTCTGTTATGGTGCAGCCAGATGAAACTTTACTCAAGTTGTACTGTCATTCAACATCAATCTCTCTGTCTAATTCACTAGAATTTAGTTTGTGATTTTACCAAAGGCCTTGCATAAACCAAAATCATGCCAACAGAGTGGGAAAGTGCTTTAAAATATGCAGAATACTTTCAAGGTATTATTTCATTGGATACTTAAATCTGTGGAGAAGGTGGAACAGATTCTTTTTGTTCTGACAGCTGCTGTAAATGAAGTACAGAGGTTTTAGTTAATAGCTCATACTTTGTAAATGCTGAACGCTCCTGTTTAGTGGTAGTAGGACGGTGGCTCTTGTGTTTTGTTAGTCTTGCCTTTAGTTTTTGCAAACTTTGAATTAATCAACAACTTTCAAGAATTAGAAGATGCCATGGCAGCCAAGCTTGGTGGCTCAGCCTGTAATCCCGTGCCTTGGGAGGCTGAGGTGAGTGGATTGCCTGAGCCCAAGGGTTCAAGACCCACCTGGGCAACTTGGTGAGACCTCATCTCTACAATAAATCAAAAAATTAGCCGGGTGGGGTAGCGCGCACCTGTAATTCCAGCTACTTGGGCGGCTGAGGTGGAAGGATCGCCGGAGCCCAGCAGGTCAAGGCTACAGTGGCCAGGAGTGTCCACTGCACTCCAGTCTGGGTGACAGAGTGAGACTCCAACTCAAAAAAAAAAAGAAGATGCCATGGCAATATTCAGATTTCCAGCACGTGTGTGTGTGTGTGTGTGTGTGTGTGTGTGTGTGTGTGTGTGTGTGTGTTTGTGCGTGTGTGAGAGAGAGAGAGAGAGAGAGAGAGAGAGAGAAGCATAGGAAGCACTGGGCTAGATTTCTCCAGTTGGCCACTGCCCCACCACACCCTGTGGTTCTGACGTTGGACTGCTGCTCTCATCTTTGCTACTTAATGCGTGGCCCCTATTTGAGTTTGTGACACCTACACTACCGTATACAACAGCTTGATAAGCCTTTTTGCCAGAGGAGTTCTTATTATTTTGGCATTGTGTGTCTTCAGTGATCTCACCCTTAGTAGTTACACATTATTTTTCCAAATGTTCAAAACCTGTTTCATGATTTATTCTAGAATTTTGTTTCGAAATTAATATTAGAGATTACTAGCTGGCCTGTAATCTCTAAAATTTACTTTTATCCTATTGAAGATTGATCAAATTTTTGCTTCCCTCCAGACTCTTATAATTTGTCCTGATTTCTGTCATTTCCCAGATATTATTATTTGTGGTTCTGAGGTTATATACCCAATTTTTGTTGGTGCCCTAAAATTAATCCATTGTCTTCATATCTTGGATTTGAAGTTTTTCTTCCATCCTTTATATTTTGAAGATTTTTCTCCCTCTAATTCTATTTCTTTCTCTTTCTTTAGTGCACTTTTTTGCAATTTATGTGATATACGCCACCAATCTATGTCTCAAGAGGCAGTTATAGTAAGAGTCTGAAGTGGTGTCTATGTCCTCTAGTAGTCAGGTCTTAGGCAAAAGATGGAGAAATGAACAGGTTCCAGCAAAGGAATCAGGAAACAACTCAAGAACCAGGAGGGGTAAAAGGGACAGGCAGATCCACACTACCTAGGTCAAGTAGCCTCCCTGTTGGTGCTGTTTCCCGCTGCCCTGGGTGTAGCAACTATCAGAAGAGAGGCATTCCTGGAGTCAAACTTTTTTGCAGAGAGGCGAACAATGAAGGTGACCACAGAGCTTCCACTCAGCCCAGAAATTGCTATCAGATCCAGATTTTCTTTCAATTCCCACTTACTTTTCATAGTTGTGCTTCAGAGCCCCAACTAATATACTGTAGAGAGTCTGAGCCCTTTCTCTTCCCGAGAGAAGAGATGAACAGACCTCATAGTACAGGGGCTAGAGCACACAGATGTGGAAACTAGGTCTGAAGCAACCTCCGAAACAATAACTGCTTTAACTGGTGGGCCCAGATGTTTCTTTTTCAACAGCAACCAGGGTGGTACCTCCTCTTTCTATTTGCTCTAGTGAGATGCCCACAAACCCCCTCTTCAATCCTAGAACCAGCCCAGTACATGCTGAGAGCATAGTGGCAGCCTTTCAAACCTCCCCATGAGCAGATCTTTGGGAAGTAAATAAATGACAAGCATAAAGTTGGCGGCTTCATCTCACCTAACCCAAATTAGTATATTAGTTGGTTTTATTAATTCCAGCTCAGTTTTCCCTTAGGTCAGCTGCAGACTCCTCTCCCCTGCTCCTTGAGTATATTTCTCCATCTGCCCTGTGTCATCTCTGGACTTATTCCTTGCTCAACTCTTCAAAGCCATTCAAGCCCTCCACCAAGACTTCCCCAGCATCTGTCTCTTAGGTTTCTTGTTCTCTAGGCCCTCCTGTTAAAAATCACCTCAGTTGACACTGCCCTCTTGAGTGTTTGCCCAGAGACTCTCGCCTCTGCTGTAAAAGCCCTCCATCTTTTCAACCTATTCTTTCCTCCCTGATAGGGCTGAAATTCTTCTAGCTATCTCAATTTATATACTTAGTCTTATCTTTTGTCCTCTTCTCCTAGCAAACAACATGGCAACTACAACCCAGTTTTACTCTGATAATTTTCTTCTTTATAAGATCCTACAGTATGATGCACAATGCCCTCTTGGAGAGTGGGGAAGGGTGAGGGTGGAAGGAGGGAATTTCCATCTTCAATCTATGTTTTGGGCAAAAGAAGCATGGAGCATGGGAGTTACTGCTGGGACCCTGGAGTGAAATGTTTGTTGCAGAGATTGGGGGATGAGCAGACAGCCATAGTACAAGGTTTGGCCTCTTGTCCTCTCCTCCCCAGGAGCTTTTTGGTTCTGCAGAATAATGCCCCCCAGAGGCCTTGCTGTCACATTCAATAGGCAATAAACATGGAGGATGTGCTCAACCAGGCTCACAAGACTAGCCCTGAAGGAGGACATAAACCTCTTTTTGATGAGCAGCAATGTGTATCACCATAAGGGATAAAAAACTGAGATGAAACCAAGAGAGTTCAGTTGAGAGAGCACCCTCTGAGGAAGAAGGTCTGGAGAAGATTGGCCTGGGGAAACAGATGAGGAAAGAGCCACGGACAGAAGTCTCTCACTCCAGCTTTGTCTCCATAGCCCGCCCGCCCGCGATGGATGAAGTGCGTGGAGGAGACAGGCACCTTCTTTGAGCCCACCCTGGCGGCCTTGTTTGTTCGCGAGGCCTTCGGCCCGAGCACCCGAAGTGCTGTATGTGAGGCTTCTTCCCAGTCTGCGTCCCCCCCACCTCTCCTCACCCAACCTACCCTCTCTATGTTCTATGAACTTTGCCCTTCTAGTGGTTTGTGTAGTTGGGGAACCAGGCAGTCACAGAGAGAGAGAGAGAGAGAGAGAGAGAGAGACGGTCCTCTAGGAGCGAGAGAACCCGAAGGCCTGCTCCATTCCTGGGTGGAAACAGTTTAGCTACGGGCCACAAAGTCACCACAACAAGCACTAACTTGGAGGAGTCACCCAACTTTCCTGGTCTTGTGTTTCTTCAACCATAAAATGAGAAAATTGAACTCTGTGACCTTGCTCCTCCCTGTTTGTCTAAGATTTTTTTAAGAACATATGAAACACCATGAGAATGGGATAATGTAATCTTGAGGAGGGCAAATAAGTAACTACTGAATACTTTCTGAGTGCTGAAGGCATGCCTGGGACTCTTGTAAGCACTTTGCATTATTTAATTCCTATTACCATCCTAATGCTATAGAAGAGAGAACTGAGACACAGAGAGGCTCAGTGACTTGCCCAAGGTCACACAAACAGCAAAGTCAGGATTTGAACTCAGGTAGTCTTATACCAGAGCCGAGGATCCTGATATTATGGTTCATTTTCCTCCAAGAAAGGATGTATATGAGATGGTTGACAAGTAGGGAAGCAGTGACTACACACTCAGGTTGTAAAGTGAGGAAGATTTATTGGGGACTAATCAGGAAGATGAAGAGAGCTCAGAAAGATGGAGAGAGGGAATGCATGCCTTAAGAACGAGGGTGTGAGGACAAGGACCCTGACAACACAGCTTTCTTCCTCCTCTGATTTCTGAACTGTTTGCCTGGCCTCAGGAATAAGGATAGTGTCTCCCTCCCTCATCAGGCTCCCTCAACATGGAAAGGCACTGTCTCCCTAGCCAACCCTCTGGGGCAACCAGCTTGTACCTTCCCTGTCTGAGCATGGCACGGCCTTCCTATCTCCATAAATCTTTGCACCATGGAGTTTTATGATCACCTGGGAAACTGTTTCTTCTACCTTCTTTCTGAGCTCTTGCCCTATCTCTAATACCTCCAGTCCAGGCAGATGCTTGGAGGCCAAGGTCCTTTGTAGGGTCAGGGGCTGCAGGCAGGACCGGGCTGAGGCTCCTCCTGATCCTGTCCCTTATCTTTGGACCTCACTCCCACAGGCTATGGAATTATTCACTGCAATCCAGGATGTTCTCGTCACTCGCCTCAGAAGGCTTCCTTGGATGGATGAGGAGACCCAGAAAGCAACCCAGCAAAAGGTCAGGCCAGGCGTAAGGGCCAATGTGGGAGTGTGAGGGGAGAATGAAGTATTAGACCAAGTGATATGGGCACAAGGTAAGTATAAGAGCCACAGTGCAGCCGGGCTCGGTGGCTCAGCCTGTAATCCTGCGCCTTTGGGAGGCTGAGGTGAGTGGATTGCCTGAGCCCGCGGGTTCGAGACCTGCATGGGCAACTTGGTGAGACCTCATCTCTACAATAAATCAAAAAAAAAAAATTAGCCGGGCGTGGTAGTGCACGCCTGTAGTTCCAGCTACTCGGAAGGCTGAGACGGAGGGATCGCCGGAGCCCCCAGCAGGTTGAGGCTGCGGTGGCCGGGAGCGGCCACTGCACTCCAGTCTGGGCAACAGAGTGAGATTCCAGCTCAAAAAAACAAACAAAAAAAAAGAACCACAATGCTGCACACACATCATGGTGACAATGAGAGAGGCTGGGGCAAAGGCAAGGAGCAGGAGGAATTCCCTCCTGTTGACTCAAGCAGCTAAGTTCCTATCACCTTTTGTGCTTCTCTCCAGGTATCCCAACTGCAGGTGGAGATGGGAGCCCCGGAATGGGCCCTGAAGCCAGAGATGGCCAGACAAGAATACAGCGATGTGGGTCCCTGACCTTCTAGCTCCTTCTCAGTCCTTGACTTCTACTGACTTTCCTGACCCACCTGAGTCTTTGTTGGACAATCAGTTTTTCCTGGGTGATTTGAACCAGCCCATCCTCACCCTCGTGTTGGCTAGGCTTTATGGGGGAATATCCACACTGTAGACTTTGCTGGCAGAACAGAGCCTTTTCAGGTCATGATGTTGTGCCTACACACATGCATGCGGTCCATGCCTTGCCTGGGTGTGCTCATCTGTGTGTAATATGTATTTAGAGCCTATGTGTACCAACGTCTGGTTGAGCTGTCTACCCTAATCTGTGGATGTCTGTGTGTCAGGGCTTGCCTTCTTGGGGTCAAATGTACCCATCAGCATATGCCAGTATATGCCTATATTTGTCCCTGTGTATCCAACTCACCTCCTGCCTCCTCCTCAGATACAACTTGGACCCACCTTCCTACAGTCTGTCTTGAGCTGCCACCGATCCCTCCGAGCTAGAATTGTCCGGAGCTTCTTGCACCCCCCCTCCCCCCATAGGTATGAGAGGAGGGGAGACATAGATACTTCATCCCAGAGATAGTCATCCATGATTTTTTTTTTTGAGTTGGAGTCTCACTCTGTCACACAGACTGGAGTGCAACGGCCATTCCCGGCCACCGCAGCCTCGACCTGCTGGGGTCCAGCGATCCTTCCACCTCAGCCTTCCAAGTAGCTGGAACTACAGGCGCGTGCTACCACGCCCGGCTAATTTTTTTTATTTATTGTAGAGATGAGGTCTCGCCAAGTTGCCCAGGCACGTCTCGAATCCACGGGCTCAGGCAATCCACTCAGCTCAGTCTCCCAAAGTGTTGGGATTACAGGCTGAGGCACCGAGCCCGGCTAGTCATCCATGATTAATAGGAAAGGAAGTCAGGGCTCAGGGCAGGCAGCAGGAACAGTGACAGTAGTTGGGAAGGACTGTATGTCTGGGAGTGGGAGGGCATAAAGGTGAAGGCGGTATTCACATATGCTCTTCCCACAGATGGAAGGTGTCCCCCTGGGAGGTCAATGCTTACTATTCAACATCTGACCATGTGGTGGTCTTCCCAGCTGGACTCTTCCAACCCCCATTCTTCCACCTTGGCTACCCCAGGTATGGGTCACTTCTGTGAGGGTGGGAAGGGAGTTTCCAAGGGACATGGACAGGTGTAATGATGGATGAGCTTGTTGAAGAACTGGGGTCAAAAATACTGAAGGATACTGGAGGTAAGAAACTTTTGTCTCCCTAGGGCTGTGAACTTTGGTGCTGCTGGCAGCATCATGGCCCACAAGCTGTTGCAGATCATCTATCAGCTCTGTGGGTAACAGGGGCCATTGGGAGGTGGGGCTATGAGAAGGCAAGGGAAGGCTGCAAAGGAGGCCAGTAGAGGAAAGGGAGGCTATCTGAGGGCTCACGGTGGGCCAGTTCTGAAACCTTGCAATAGTCCTGGGGCCAGATCAGGCTGTGTTACCCCTCCTCCCCCATGTCCCCAACCTTGTAGCACCACACCTCACCTGTATTTTCTCTTGCCCCATTTTCAACAGGGCTTCCTGGGGACTGCCCGGCCTGTGATGCCCGTGCCCTCCATGGGGCACGCCTGTGCCTGGAGCACCATTATGCTGCCTTCCTGTTACCCAGCAGAACCTCCTTCAATGACTCCTTCACTTTCCTGGAGAATGTCGCAGACGTGGGTGGGTTGGCTGTTGCACTGCAGGTAAGTCAGGTGTCAAGGGTCACAATCCATATGCACTAACAGACTAGAAACCCTGTCCTGTCCTTGAGTTTTCTTCTCACCATCCCTCACACAAACATGACTGCGCAGCCTTCTGCCCTTTACATCCCCAGAGAACAGAGGGCAACTTGAGATCCCCCCCTCCCACCCCACAGATGCCCGTTTTCTGGGACATCTATAGATCTTCTGGCAAATGCCCTGTGTTCTGGCTCAGACCAATGTGTCAGAACCGGTAAAGAAGTACATGGAATAGTTCTGGTTATGGCGTGGACTTTTATATGGCTACAGGTCTGGAGCCTGAGGGCCACTCTTCACCTCACGCCCTATCCAGGCATACACCAAGAGGTTGTTATGGCACAGTGGGGAGACCACCTTGCCCAGCCTGGACCTCAGCCCACAGCAGATCTTCTTCCGAAGCTATGCCCAGGTAGGCAGCGGGCATCTCCCACCACAGTTTGCTTCATATCCGATGAACGTGCTATTACTGAAACTCACAGAACCTCCCCTCCCCAAACACAACCACACCCCCTGCCACAGATGTCTTGGAATCATCTTTCAGATGACTACAGGTTCTTCTACTAAATTCAGCTCCCCCTCAACTGAAAAGGTAGAAAAAACTCTACTCCCAGTTTCCTCCATGATATTAGTCCAACTTTCTTCTTCTTTCATGTTTCCAAAATACAGATGCCTTAAAAATGAGCCTGTAACAGGATGACTGTGTGTCACATTTCTCTTCGGACACTTCACCCCAGGTGGAGTGCCCCACTTGACATCATCTTCTTAAGAATCAGTGCTCCCTCAAGTTCTAGTTCCTCAACACACTTAGGGACCTCCTCACCAAGCTCCTCCATTAATCCACACCTCATGGTCACTTATAAGTGCCGTCATTTCACAACCCAAGCCCTGCCCCCAGGGCTCCTATCAAATGACCAACAAATGGCAAACATTCCACGTGGCCCTTGGAGCACTCTTCTCCTGGTTCCCCTCTGTGTCTGTTGTCCTTAGTCACCCCTTGTACTGCAGACCCTGATCATAACCTGCTCTTATTCTTCCCTTTCATTGACCTCTCTTCCCACTCAGGTGATGTGTAGGAAGCCTAGCCCCAAGGACTCTCATGACACTCATAGCCCTCCCCCTCTCCGAGTCCACGGGCCCCTCAGCAGCACCCCAGCCTTTGCCAGACATTTCCACTGTCCACGTGGTGCCCTCTTGAACCCCTCCAACCGCTGCCAGCTCTGGTAACCTGGCTACCAAGGAGACCGCAACACAGAAGCATCACCCTCTCCCTGGTCCTATTTGAAGAATCGGGGCAAAATCTCTTTGCCTCTTCTGTTCCAAAAAATAAAAACTGGCACATGGCTTCTGTCTCTCTCTCTCTCTCTCTACAGGGGGCAGCCCCTGCAAAGAGAATTAGAGGGTCCCTGGAAGGCGGGGCAGCATCGGCGAATATTCTGGAGAAATAAGGAGAAAGAAAGAGACTAGACTCTGTCTAGTGTAGAAGCCGATTCTGTAGTAGGGATAGATATTGAAAGAAAGATGGAGGGATAGATATAAAGAGAAAGAAAGAAAGTGGACAACTGTTCAGTGAAATGAGCAGAAGCCATTTATTGGGAACCAATGTGAGTCTTTTATCCCAAATTTTCATGTTAAATCACAAGACTTTCACGTGAGCACAAAGCCAGGTAGGTGAGGGGCATCCCCCACCCACCAGGCATTTCCTTAGGAATGAGGAAGGACAATCCCAATCAAATCACAAGAGTTTTACGTGAACATAAAGCCAGGTGGGTGGAGGGCGTCCTCACCCACCAGGCGTTTTCCTTAGAAATGAGGAAGGACAATCTTAATCAAATCACAAGAGTTTTACATGAACACAAAGCCAGGTGGGTGGAGGGTGTCCTCACCCACCAGGTGTTTTCCTTAAGCATGAGGAAGGATAATCCCAAAGTTATCTCACTGTTCCTCATGCTTGGTTTATATTCCTCAAAAGTAATATAACTGACTGAAATCCTAATATCTTTCTTATCTGTGCTAATTTTACCTGTACTATAAACAACTCTTAATG